CTGTTTACTGGGCTCTAATGAAGTTCTCTGTCCCTGACCTAGGTGTCTCATGTCTCCTGGCACAATCCACCAGAAAGTAACAAGCTAGCTTCTTTGATTTACATCTCAGTCACGACATTTATAATAGAAAACAAGAGACAAGAGGCATTCTGAAAATTGTATGTTGTGAAAACAAGAGAATGTATGGATAAGCATAGGATGAGGTGGAGATTGACCTCAGGTATAAGACTGTGATTACAAAGACAATACTGACAAAGCAGAAAGCTACCTGACAACTGCTAATATCCACTGAGCACTGTATTGTTTTCCAGACACTGTGCTAACACAATTGCCGTTTATTTACTAAGTAGTCCTCAAAACAACCATCCTGTAAGACAGGTCCTATTAATATCTCCATTTTACAGATGAATACATCAAGGCCCAGAGAGGACTGTAAATAAATCACTACTGTAAATGCTGGTACTTAACATACAATTTAACTATCCCAGGAATCCTATGGGGTATTGTTCTGTCCCGTTTGTGTATTAAGAACACTGAGGCTCAAAGAGGTTAAGTAAAATAAATTGCCCAGGTTTAAGTTGGTGGCATATCTGAAATTCAAATTCTTTTGGAATCTCTCACTAAAACTGCTTTTCTTTTCCTTAGCGAAAACTTTTCCTCTGGCTACTCAAGTTATAGAAGTGTAACTGAACTGTAACTTGGCACATCTGCTTTCCACTTCCAGCATCTATCAAGTATGACATCACCCTCAGACAATCTCTTTGAGCCACCCTTTCTTTATCTGTAGAAGATGTAGATGATGATGGACAGAGAAAAAGTTATCTGAAGCTCCTTCCGACTCTAAAAGCACGTTTATGTTTAGTGTTACCTTACTTGGGGCTATGGAGGAACACGGAGACAAATGTGTGTGACTACTGTTCTAGGTAACAGGCTAATTTCTAAGTCCGTGGACACAACTGACAGAATTGTGATCACTCATGAAACAACCCTAATTTGTGTTGATCCACCAACTAGCACCTGAAGACACAGACCCCCAAGAAAAATGCCTTTGTGATTTTTTCATCGTGAGGCTATTTGACTCCCCGCTCCCCACTGCCTCTTCCATTCCAACTGGCAGAGCCAGTGCAAGTCCCCTCCTGTGCGGTGCTGGCAGGAGCACAACCGTGCAGTGAAGAGTTGGATCAGGAAGAAGCAATGGATAGGGCTTCCGTTCTCTGACCTCTTGCCTGGCGGAGGGACAACAGAAGCAGCAGCAGGTGCATCTGAAAGGTCTCTGCAGTGTCATGATCTCTCGGCCCAGGCAGTCAGTGACCCGCAGCACGAAGGGCCTCAGTGTCCGATAAGCATTCCTGGTGTAGTCATCTGTGTCTTCAGCCACAAAGTAAACCATCTGGCCCAGGTTGTTTTTAATATCATATCTATTATTAGTTTCAAAATGTGTTATCACTAAAAGTAAAATGAGAGAACTGTCTTATTTAAGAAGCAGGTAAAATGGGCCTCAAGAAGTCCTTCTGTAGTAATTTCACAGGGGCTTAAAGCAAAACAAGTTTTTAAAAAAATTTCAGGTGAAAAATACGCAATTATTAGAACACCAAGATAATTCATATGACCTGTAAAAATTTACATAACTCAAAATTTAAAACATTTCTTTTAAGAAGTTCAGTACAAATGATTTTTAAAACTTTTCCACATAAAAGCCAAGACTGAAACAATATTCCTAGAGTACCTGAATTCAGAAAACTTTAATTAAGGCACTAATGATCCCAGCACATTGGTTAAGAGCCTGGTTGGAGTCAGACAGACATGAGTTCAAATCCTGACTCCACTGCTTTTTAGATGTATCTTAGGTGAGGTTAAAAAAAAAAACCTTAATTATAAAACCATTTAAATGCAATTATGCATTAGATCATAAATTAATTGGTTCATGAAATATACCAAGATGATCAGTGTCATTAGTAATTACAAATAAGAAAAAGAACCAAGCAGAGTCAAAGGCTCTATGTGGTGGTCAAATGAAGGAAAGGAAGGTGTAGGTCTGCTACAGAGAGGGTCAGGGGTCTTGTGAGGATGAACTGTGAACAGGCATCATGTTTCTTCTTACTTCCATAGCATTGGGCTTAGAATTCAGGAAGCTGAGATTCTATTTCCAGTTCTGCCACTGATTAGCTGACAAGGATGCCCTTGGCTAACTCATCTAGCCTCTTGGCTCCTTCTTTATCTTGCCCATGAAAAGCTAATATGGAGGAGTTGAGATGGGTAAAGGGTAGGGGGGTCGACCAGATAAAATGTAAGTCCTGTTCAAGTCCAAAAGCTTATTAATGTTGTGTAAATAGATAAAATAATACAAAGTAGGTCCTCTTATTACTTTCTTGAAGACAGCATAGTAGAGGACAGTCTTTTCTCTTGGAACCACTAAAAAATAACCAATATAAATAAGGAACTAGATATTGGATAATGCATATTTCCACCTGATTCAAATATTGCTGGACACTACAAAATTATACATACTTTCCAGGGGTTCAAAGTGCTGAAGAACGTGTATGTTGTCCAACTGTTGGGACAGAACAAAACAATTAGGAGAGAGAAAAACAACAGAATTAAATCAGACCAGCATTAGAAAAGAGACTGATGAGACAGATATCAAACTGTATCCATTTACACAAAGATCTTTTCTGAAGCTGAATGGAATCAAAACTATTTTTTTAATCAAGCGAAATCAGCCTATCTGCACCCAATCAGAGGGCTATTCGCAGAGCTGTCCAGATAGAACACTTTTGTCCAGTTTCACTGTAAACTATTGAAACATTTGTCTAAAATATAAGGAAAGCATCTTCCCACGACAGTCACAGCGACTAGAAGAAGCTACGTTGACAAAGATGGGTCCCATCTCGATTCCTACTCATTGGTCTCTCTGCCATGTCACCTCCTGACTGCAGTTGTCAGGAAGTTCAAGACAGTTTAATGTCGACCAACCATAGAGAAAGCAACTGTCTCAGTGGCTTAGGGAGAATGAATCAGCGAGGGTGGCCCCTACACAGGACAGTCCAGTCTTACATTATCTTACAGGTGCTTCTAGAAGAGGTTAACACACTGACTGCCATTCACTTGAGCTGCTAATACCTGGGTCTTCCCTCAGTGTGTACTTTAATAGGGGAGGGTCCAAGAAGCTGGAAGCATGTGAAAAGGATTAGAGCAAAGGCGAGGCAACATTCAGGGATGGGTTCCCTCGAAGAGAGAGGCTGGGAATACCATCAGATTAACTTCTACCTTAATTTTACTTAGGAATCACTGCAAAGATAGACAGTTGGATAGTAATTATCTGTTATACTTGAGAATATTCTAGCAGAAAAGAAGCCTCCTGAGGGACAGATTAATCATATCAATATAATTTTAGATAATTTAGATCATTAGATCACTCCTAATCCCTGAGCCCAGAACACTGCCTGAAATACAATATTTTTACCAAATATTTGTTGAATAAATTAATTAATGTATGATGCATGAATGTGGTAATAAATAAAATTTAAAATAATGTAACTGGACATGAATGTTTTGTAGTTTGACTGATTACAGGAGATTTATAGAAAGGATACATTCCTTCCTTCATTAAAATTCTTTTCTCATATGAGAACACAATCAGGTGAGAGGGTCTAAACATGTCTTAGAATAAAATATCAGAAGTGGCCCCTAAACAACAAGTTTCCACTGTACAGCACAGGGAACTATATTCAATATCTTGTAGTAACCTATAGTGAAAAAGAATATGTAAGTGATATATGTATGTATATGTATGATTGAAACATTATGCTGTACACCAGAAATTGACACAATATTATAAACTGACTATATTTCAATTAAAAAGAAGTGTCCACTAGGACCGTTTTAAAAATTTAAGGTGTTAAAATCTATAACTGAAAAGCAAAAATATTCATTGCTTGGTAAAAGCTTCCACTGCTGAACAAAATATCCTAAGTACTGACGCCCGTTAATGTGAAAGAATTTTGTCCAATAAGATACTACGGTTGTTAACAGGCAGTTCTAACAAAGTGTAGAGTCACTGCTAAGCCAACACTCTAGAAATAATACAAACCTGCTATTCTATAAACTGAAGTGTCAGGATAGTCCTGATAAGGATTCATGTAATTTGCACACAAGATGGCAAGAAGACTAAGAGAAAGAAAATGCCTGGCTCTGTGTTCTCCACTCACACACAAGGTGTTTCGACTAATAACATCCACACAGCTATCATTCATTGGGTTGGTCCTGCGTGCCAAAAATATTAGGCACATTACAAACTTTCTCATTAATAATTCTCCTAACAACCCAGTAGGATAGGTATCACTCGTACTACTTTATAGATGATGAAATTCAAGGACCAAAAGGTTAGAAAAGTTACTCAAGGTGGTGGAGTGAAGAGGACGTAGAACCAGAATTCAAAGCCAGGTTTGTCTGGTTCTAAACCTGTTTATTTGTTTCTTTTTCATTTATTTTAACTAAAAACATCCCTAAGAGGGAAAACAGAATTTATAAAATATCTTCATTCAACTTCTTTCAGAGTAATAGAAGAAATGAAGAATTTTTCAATTGTTAAATGAACAATATTAAAGCTACACATTTTTTAAAAAGAAATGACTCCAGATATTGGATTTCCAGGGACAATTTCTGTATTTATCATTAAGTATCAAAAAGAAACTTTCTAAACCTGATTGACTTATAAGCGTTTTATAAGCTTCCAAAATAATGTGAAGACGTATTCTAGCACTTTATCTGAATGACTGGTGGTGTATTTTGTCAATATTTTGCCAAACAACAATTTAATGAAATTTTTGGTTCATGTAAAATCCAAAATGTCCTGATCCACCTGTATTTATGTCCAAAGATCAACACTATAACATCATACCAATGGTTTTCAACGCATAGGATTAACAGTCAGCATGTAAAATTGAGAAGAGAAACACGTCAACTTCGAGGAACATCTGATTGACTACGTGGCAAGACATGTGTTGAACTGACAAGTCCCTTGCTTGTAATGTATTTCGACGCTTCCTTTTACCTGAAAACAAAACATGATGTAGTAGTTTCTAAGCGATTTCCAACACTAGGTTGATCTTGTTTTCATTCAGCAACTTCTTTTGTTTGTTTCTGACATGGGTTTTTAAACAGTACCATTTGCTACATAAACTTGGCATATTGTCCCAGTTTCTGAAATGGGTGTCCTGGGCCTCGGACATCTATATAGAAGGAAACCAGGAAGTCACTCTGTTGTGGAAAGGGGTTCTCTGGAACTTGGCCTGAAACAATATATTTGGTAGGTCCTCTCTTTTTATTTACATTGTATTTAAAAAAAATTTTGTTTTGGTGGCAGGGAGGTGGCAGAGCTGGTTAACGAAAACTACACGTGGTTAGAAAAGCCAATGGGCTGCGGCAGTAAGTGATTCACTCACTGTCTACCATCCTGCTCTTTATAATGTTGCTTTTCTTGATGTTAACTCTTTATTTCTAAGCAAACAATACCAAATACCATCTTTGATAGTTTTTTCTTCTATTCCTAATTTTATTTTTAAATTGCCTTCAACAGGACATCTTGAATGTCTTAAAATTCAACATACAATCCTTCACAAAAACCATATTCATCCCACAAAAAAAATCCCTTCACTTTTATGAAATTAGTACCACCACACCTATAGTCTCACAAACAAGACATCTGTCATCAATGACCCATCACCTTTATCTATTCTATCTAGCCTTTTCTCTCTTCTTATTGGATTTCCAATCATGCTTTGTAAAAAGGTAATTTGGATTTGTATACAGTACCTGGGCTAAGTATTCTAGACCTGGAGGACAGTTTGGCATAGGAGTTGGCACTGGCATCCATGCTACTGGAGCAGAAGATTGTGGCACAGGATATTTTCCAGGCTGGTACTGGATAGGATGGGTACCACTACTTGGCAGGTACAAGGGGAAGGTACCAGGCTGCTGTGGACCGTAGTATCCCACAGGCAAGCCTCCTGGGTAGCCTGCAGGTGGAGGGAGGGCTGGTCCAGGAGGCCCTGAGTTCAAAAATAAATGCAAGTGTTATACATTGTTAACACTACAATATATTGGAAGTTAGCATGACTTTTCACGCGAAAATGATATGGATCACGTGACCTCTACTTAAAAACAAGATGTTCCATTTTACAAGGGTGTAGAATGTACAACAATGCACTCAGGAGATTTACACATTAACTCATTTAATCCAGTTAAACCTTATGAGATAATTATTCCCATTTCAGAGGTATAAAAATGAAGTTTAAATATCAAGTAATATGTTAGCCTCTATGCATTAGGTTCCTTCTTTGAGGATAGTAACATACCTACTGCATTAGGTTGTAGTAGGATTAGCACAAGCCCTAGCATGTAACTAGCACTGTAAACACTTGTTACTGTGTTTATTGTTACTAATGTTTAAGGTCAGAAAGATAGTAAGGTTTATCTGACTTCAAAGGGGTTCTTCCAATGACCACTCTAATTCCACCCCAGAAAAAAGGCCCATTAGCAGTCATTCCCACCTTTCCAGGCAGCCCCCATCTCTACAGATTTGTCTAATCTGAATATTTCATATACATAAAATCATGTAACATGTAGCCTTTGTGTATGGTTCCCTTTACTTAGCATGTTTTCAAGGTTCATGCATGTTGTAGCATGCGTTAGTACTTAATAAAAATTAATAAAATAACAACTCATGTCAGACAAAATATCCGTTAAGACAGAAATTGTTACTAAAAGTAAAGGACATTTTGTAATAAAAGAAGTGTCAATCCATCAAGAAGATATAAAAACAGAGCTTCAAAATACATGAAGCAAAACTGACAGAACTAAAAAGTGAAACAGGCAATTTAACAAATAGTTGGAAACTGCAATACCCCACTCACAATGAAGGACAGAACACGTAAGCAGAAGGTCAAAAAGGAAAGAGAAGCATGAACAACACTGTAAATGAAACCAGGCATGTATAGAACACCCTCTCCACAACAACAGAATAAAAGCTCTTCTCAAGCACACAGAGAGCATTCTCCAGGACAGACCTCCCATAAAACAAAGCCATAAGACAAGTCTCAATAAATTTAAGACAACTGAAATCATACAGAGTATATTCTATTACAATGGAATAAAATCAGAACTCAATAATAATAGAAGGAAATTTGGG